TTTTTGGATAATCTTCAGTAAAATCTTGCTTGCATGTGAAATCAGTGAGATTGTTCTGTAGTTTCCACATTCTGTTGGGTCACCTTTCTTTGGGATAGTGGCAGCTAATTTGGCCTGTCTCCCAAGTGATAGTGAGAGAAAGCCCATTTGAAGCTGGGCCCGGGAATTGGCACAGCTCAGGCTGGGGACTGGACACTGGACCAAGAGCCTTCAGTATCAGCCAGTGTGAGAGCCCAGCGCTCTGGCATGCACTGTCAGGACACCCCCAGTTCTCAGCCCAGCCCTAGCCCACCTCGCCTCGTGAACCTCTGCTCCCATGAGAACGTGCTCTTGTGTCCGACCGCTCATGGCCTCGCTCGGCCAGCATTTCCCGCCCTATGGCTTGTCCAGAAGGCGGCAGGGTGAGGGCGCAGATGGTGCGCGACTCAGTGGTGTTTTCAGACCGTGCTGCTCACCACTCTTCCCTAGCACCTCCTTGCCTGCCATCTTGAACCAATTTGGGAGCCTGACAGCTGGGAAGGCCTGGAATCCTGATAAATCCCCCTCCTCTCCCTCAGCCACGCTGACCTCATGCTTCTCACGTCCTCGCTGCTCAGCACATTACCCAGGTCTGCTAACGAGGGGCCTGCGGAGACGATCCTGTGGGTATCCTACCAGGCAAAGCTCTGGTCCCTCCTCCCGCCAGACAATGAAAATTCCACGCCACCCTCTCACTCTCCTGTTCTGGATTCTTCCGTCCTCGCGCTCCCCCTGGTCCTTGCTCTTGTCTGGTCCTTCAGGTCCTGAGCGAGTGAACGAGGAACATGCGAACATGTGAGTGCACAGTGGATGGGAATGAGGGTGCATCTTCTCGGTGAGGAAAGAGGGAATGGGGCCGCCTCCGGCCCAGCCTCCCCCAACGTGAACCACTTCCGGTTGTAAATCAGTCTCATCAATCATCAGCCGTGATTGCTTAACCTCTGGCCCTAACATCTGTTCTCAACGCTGAGGCCAGCATCTGTGACGCGGCCAGCAGAGGGCCTGGTGGGCTTGAAGCCGGGGTGGGAGGGGGAGCCAGGACCCCTGGATTTGCTTGATGGTCCTTCACTCTGGAAGCAGAGATCAGCCCAGAGTCTGGCACAGTAGCTGCTCCGTGTACTGTAAGCAGAAAGATGGACAATCTCCTCTTTGTGGATCTTGTTGTTGGAAGAGAGATGGGCAGTCTCCTCCTGTGTGATTTACAGCCTCTGAAAACCCACTGCAGGGTCAGCTATCAGTCGGTTCTGATACAACAGCACGTTAACACCACCACCACCACCACCACCTACATGTACAGTTCTTACAACCATTCCTGGCACATTTTCAATAATGAGTTATTCTGAGCTGGTTGCATAAAATAGATACACTTCTTTTTCACCATGCAAACAATTATGATGCTAAAATCATTAGTCACACAGGGTTGATGAAGTGATCAGATCCACAACTGCCTTTGTTCTCACAGCAGCCCTGGGAGGGAAACTGAGGCTCAGAGCAAGAGGACACCACTCGCCAACTGTCACAGCACAAGATCAGCAGGGTCGGGGCTGGTCAGCATCAGCCCTGGTGCCCCTCCAAGCTGACTGTTTTTCATTGGTGCATGGGTGTAGAGCCCCTTCTCAGGGGGCAGTGGACTGAATGAGACGTTTGTACAGAGACTGGCCCAGGAAAGTGTGCAAAGGCTGGCCTCGTCCCACCTCCAGGACAAGCCCTGAGCTGGCGCTGGAGGATGGACTTCAGCCTGGGTCTGCAGCTGCCTCTCCGAGTGATCCTGGCTTAGCCCAGTCCTCCTAAGGTAGTTCCTGATGGGGCTCTAGGATCTCGCCTTCCGGGCAGCCACTACCAGTCATCGCCAGCTCCCTTTCTTCTCCACCCATGCAATTTACAGCCTTGGAAACCCAACGGAAGGTCAACTATGAGCTGGTTTTGGCTCTCAGACAATGAGTGTGTGCCCTTGCTAAGTAAAAAAGCAGCTTCAGAATCCCTCCTAACACAGCTTTCTAAGCTGCCATTACCAGACACTGGGAGGTAGTATGGAGATTCAAACTTTTGTCCTTGGATTGGTCACCCTTTTGACCCTTCTAGCCCTGCCATTTCCGTGATTCTAAGACTCAGCGAGACGCACCCCAAAGTGGAAGGACTCCTCTTGCTGGAGGGAAGAGGGTACAGTCCTCCGGTAGGGTCTGCATGACCCCTGTGAAGACTAATACATGAGAAGGTCAAAAATCCTTTCAAGTCTGTAAGTGCTCTGACCTATCTGTAAATATAATGCTGCTTCAACATTGAAGGGAAAGGATAACAAGTAAAAAAAAAGTTAAAAATGGATGGAGTAATTCAAGAAGTCCCGGAGGGTGGGCAGAGCTCTGCGCTCGGATACTGTGGTTTCTCCGTGGTGGCCGTGGAAGAGGCCACGCTGCCCTTATCTGAGTGGAAGTCTCGTGCCACACAGCCAGGAATTCTGCTGCGGTCTGAGATCTGCCCAGTGGCCCATGGCTGCTGGAAGTGACAGACAGGTGCCTCCATGGGACCAGAGGCTTTGTGTGTTCAGCTGGAGAGGCCTGCGGCATTTCTAGAGTCCAGGGAGACCCTATCTCTGGGTTACAGAGTTCAGTAATGAGGTGGAAGTGGTTTTGGAAGAGTCATGATCTCTCTGAGAGGCTCAGTTTTCTCATCTGAACTAAGGAGCCACTCAAAAAAAAAAAAAAGACCACACAAACAAAAAAACCCCCAAAACAAAACCTTTCCACTTATTGCCATCAAGTCAGAACCAACTCATAGCTGACCTTTCAAGCGGGCTTTCAAAGACTGTAAATCAGATGGGAGGAGACTGACCAGCTTTATCTCACAGAGCAGCTGGTAGAGTCAAACTGCTTGGCTGTGTTGTTGACAGTGAAGCTATTTACCCTGTTGTTATTGTTGTTGTGTACCGTCAAGTCAGCACCGACCCATAGCTGACCCTCCAATGGGTTTCCAGAGCCAGTTAATCACATGGCGGGAGATTGCCTGTCTTTCTCCCATGGAGCAGCTGATGGCCTTGAACAGCATGGCTTTGGGATTGCAGCATAGCCTCTTGCCACTAAGCCACCAGCGCTCCCTATTCTTTATCCTCGTTGTTAAGTGCCCTCAATTCACAGATGACGCATAACGACCCTATGAATGAAAGACCTGAACACTTGTATAATGTTCATCGTTTCTCCAAGTTCATAGAGTTTCCAGAGGCAAGCTATTTTGGAAGTGGACGTCACTCCTGCTTCCAAGCTTGTTTTAACCAGGGAGCTCCACCAAACATTATTTACATACTGAAGATTAAATATGACTTCAAGTCAAGGTCAGGGCCATAATGGGCTCTTCCTGAAGGCGGCTCTTCCCTGAAGGCGGCTCTTCTCTCAGTGATCTTGACAGCATGAGTTAGCAGGAGTGTCTGAACCTTATACCCAGCCTCTTTTCAAAGTACTTAGGGTGGGACCACAGGATCCCCCACCTCAGCTCTGCTTCTGACCATCTGCTGGGGATTGGTAACTCTGGAATAAAGTAGACTCTGGTCCTGCCCTTGAGGAGATCACAGTCTGGAATGGGTCTAAGTGAGACAGGAAAACCCAGAGTGACAAACCAGAGTGCTTTGCAGTAGGACACAGGAAAGGCGGGAAGGCTTCCTGGAGGAGGCAGCAACAGGATAGATAGGTGGGAAGGCTTCCTGGAGGAGGCAGCAAGATGAGCCCTGAAGGAAAAGGTGAAACTAATTGTATTGAAAGGGGAAGCTCGCAAGGCATGTGCAGTGTCTTGGGGCGGGGGAGATGGAATTTAGGGCATTGAGGAAATTGTGTCTAGTGTGCCAAGAGACCACCAGGAGGGACCAGGCCCTAGAAGATCTTAGAGGTTGGACTGGATGAACCTGGGCATAGCGAGACTAGTGGTGAGTTGGAGAGGATGGGTTGAAGGTAGGGTATCAGTGAATAGGATGAGTTAAAGGTAGAGAAGCAGTGAAATCCAGAGGCATGGGATTCCTTCAATAAGGTGTGCCCTGTGTGGGCCCAATGGCCACCTGGTGACTGAGTCCCCAGAGAATCTTCCTGTGGGATGGCCAGCAGGGACAGGGCCCTCTTGCCTGTGCACCTGGCCATGTCTCCCCACCCGCATACCTGGGAGCAGCTCCTGGCTGAGGGTGCGGCCAGCCTTCCCATCACTGGTGGCCAGCTGTGAGGATGCGTGGAGTTGCTGCAGGGCCAGGCACTCGGTCAGGACGTCAGCCTCAGGGTCAGGGCCCATGTGCAGCTGGGAAGAAGCAGAGGGGGTGGGAGATTAGAGTGATATTACCCCCTGGCAACTCCTGTGGTAGAGGACAAGGCAAGAAGGACAGTGACTGCTGGGCAAAAACCTTGCTGTGCCCGGTTTCCTCATCTGTAAAATGAGACTAATGATTGCCAACCCTCTGTATACCCTGAAGGCTGTTGTAGTCCAGGAGCAGAGAGAACTAGATGCCAGAATGGGATTGAATGTGCCCAGATTTTATGACGGGATGCCCATATATGAGAGTAAACAGCCAGCTAGGGAGGCTGGGGGCCATCAGACCCTTGCAAGTCTGATTCCAAGGAAGGAGACAGGGAAAGAAGCATCCAGAGCCAGGCAACGTGAGGTGGGCTCCAGGGAGCCAAAGTCAGCTCACTGTCGGAGGGGTCTTGTATCTGCCTCAGTATTCCATAGGGGCCCATTGAGCTAAGTCAGTGGCTGGGGGAAGCCCAAGGAGGTGTGGCCTCAGTACAAAGCTGAGGCAAGGCCGTCAGTCGGCTGGAGCATTCTGCGGCTGCCCCCAGGATGAACTGTGAACATGGAGGGAATAAACACTTAGCACCAAGCCTGACACACAGTCCGCCCCTTCCTGTCACTTCTTGCCTCTTCTCCAGCTTTCTACCTCACTAGCACACACTACATTGGAAACAGTCCAGGGCAAGGGCCAGAAGACCTAGGTTCAAGTCTCACCCCTCCTCTTCTTACTCCATGAACAAATAATCTCTCTCATTTGTCTGCAGAAATCCATAGTCATCACACCTCACCCCACATCCAGGTTTCTCTGAGAAGTAATGAGATGATGAGCGGGAATGTGCTCTGTGAATGGCTGGCCGACTTCCAGCTGCCGGAGGCCCCGAGGTCACACGAGCACATGAGCACTGGAGTGTGAACTCTGGCCTGAAGCAGGCCCAGGCAGGGATGAGGACCAGAAGCCCAAGAGGAAAGAGCTCTGACTAAACCAAACCTCGGTTACCCTCAAAGGCAGATGTGAGCTCTAAGACACCTCAGGGTTTCTTCTTTCCTTCTCCCTATCTGGGTGTGGAAGGGTCAGGTAGGGCTTCTGGACATATGACCCATGAGGGGCAGAACCTGCATGGGAAGAGACCCTTCTTCCAGACAAATCCCACAGCTTGTCTACAAGCTGGATGCCCATGAGCTTGGCTTATCCAAACCCTCATTTCACCCGGACATAACAGATTCAGAGAAGGCAAGAGCCATGTCCCATGTCACACAGCAGTTGAGAGTTAGCCTCAAGGGTTTTTCCACCTTCCCAGGCCAGCAGGGCCAGGACCCAGCTCGGGAAGGCATGCCCAGCCTCTCCAGGCTCTCAGCTCCCTGACCCAGCAGCTGTTTTCCATGTAAATTAAGTTTCTGGCAAAAGAGGGCCAAGGCATGTTCTTGCAGACCGCAATGTCAATCGGATTAGGAGCAGCAGGAGAGGAGAATTAAGGAAGAAAAGCATTTCTAATTCTCTCTGAAACGCAGCAAGGCTGCCAAGGAGTTGTCATAATACAAGGGTCGCTTTACCCAGAAAGATACATCATCCCCAATGGCTCGTAATGGATGCTTATTGTTGGGAAGTTTGCAGCTCTGCAGCCCCAGGTCTCCGGGGCTCAGCGTGTGCCAAGCACGGGGCCTGGGAAAACCAGGGCAGAATTCTGGTCCTCAGGCGTCAGCAGATCGGGACAGAAGCCTCCCTGGCATGGAGCCCCATCCACAGAGCCTGGGCCGTTCTCTGCTCACTGCTCAGGGCCCTCAGCCACCCAACAACCATGGAAAAGCTTAGGGCCTGGAGCTACAGAGGTTGGAGTGGGATCTTGACCCTGTCACTTCCATGGTGCATGATTCTAGGTTGGCTTCTTAACTCTCTGAGCCTCAGCCTTCTCATCTCTAAAATGGGAATACAAATTGTCCCCATTCTGTAGGGTCTTTTTTTTTTTTTAAGCATGTTGCTGTTGTGTGCCATTGGGTCAGTTCTGTCTCAGTCACCCCATGTGACACAGCAGACCCGCCCCATAAGGCTCGCTTGGCTGTAATCTCCATAGACGTAGGTCACAAGCTTTTCCTGTGGAGGCAACTAGGTGCATTCAAATTGCCAGCCCTTTGGGTGGCAGCCAAGTGCTTGACCTATGTGCCACCAGGCTCTTTTCTTCAGGCTATGGTGAGGATGGGATCAGAGGCAGTCTATGAGGCACCAGACACCAAGCTGAGCGGGAAGGGCACGTGGCACCCTCGCTCACCCCTGGGATCAAAGCCAGGCTGCTATGTTTTATTCATGGCTCAGAGCAGAGCTTGGAATACAGCAAGTGCACAATAAATCTTGCAGGCCTTAATGAGCTCTTCCCACACTGCCATTTCTGCTGTGTTAGTACCCCGGCTCCTATGACCCTCCAGAGACATGGGCCAAACCCAAGTGTGTAAGCTTTGCCCCAAGTTTTAGCCGTATTTCCTCCTCAGCAGTGCCCACACTCCTTGTCCAAAACAGAATCCAGGTTTGTCTCTTGCCAACCTGCTTCTTGCCTGGTTCCTCTGGGCTCTTGACAAAGTGCATCCCATCTAACCCCTCCCTGACTCGGGGGTCTCATCCTAGGCTCCTGCGTGGCTCTCCTTGCCCAGCTCAGCAGCCACCAAGCCCAGTCCCTCTCCTCCCACAACCTCTGGCACCCCAGGCTAGGTTTCTCTTCCTTAGCTCTGTCTCCAACAACCTCAACCATTCTCCACATGTCCCTTAAAGCCACCTTTCTAAAGCTCAAGGTGGCATGTTTCTTCTTTGCTTAAGGCCCCTCAGTGGCACCCAGATCTCCTGAGGACAAGCCCCACACTCCTTGGTAGTTTCTTGTCTGTTGAGACTGGCCCCACCCACTCTGCTATGCCCACTGGGCCTCCACACACACAATGCTTCACTGCAGCCCCAGCCTAACACTGGTTACTCTTGGGGGGGCTTTCTTCTTACCTAGGACCCCACACTTGCTCTTTCCTCTAAATGTAATGAGAACATATGCCCACTTCTGTTTTGGGCTTTTACTCTGTGCGAGATACTATTCTAAACCCTTCACACTTATTTATATTCATTTACTCTTCACAACAACCTTTAAGGCAAGTCCTTTATTATCCCCAGGGACCAGCTGAGAGCACAGAGGATGAAGGCATTAGGAAACTTGCCCGAGGCCGCAGGGCTAGTGATGCAGCCAGGCGGTGGTGACCCAGGCAGGCTGGCTCAGGGCTTCCACTCCTTCACCCAGCTGCCGCCCTTTGACGGGCCCAGCACCCCTCATGCAAGCTCTGGCTATTCCTGGCACACCTCTTTTGTAGTCTTTATTATATTATGTAGCATTACCTCAAAGGCGACCGTGTTTTTCCATTTTTGCCTCCTCAATGCCTAACTCAGAACTGAAGAGCAGAGGTGATGGGTGAGGAGCTGGCGGGCAGCGTGTGAGCGGATGATACCAGCTGGCTGAGGGCCAGGAAGCAAAGGCTGTGGGAACGCCAGTGGACACGTGGGAGGGAGATGGGCAGATGGGTGGTCAGGCCCCTGTGGTGTGCGGACAGAGAATGCATGCAGGCAGTGTGGGTGCCCGGCCCGACGGCTGCATGGTGGGTGGGCAACTAGGGAGGCTTACCTTCTTCCGCACCTGCTGCTCTTTGGCGGAATGGGCCTTCACGTGCTTGCGGAGGGAGCTGGGGTCTGTGTAGCGCTTGGAGCAGCCAGGGATCTGGCAGGCGTACGGCTTCTGTAACAGCAGGGGCACGGTGAGTGAAGGGCAGATACCTGAGGAAGTCAGGCATCACCTGCCAGGCCCGGCTGTGTGGGCCGCAGTAGAGGGAAGACTGGGTGAGGGATGTGTTGTAGGATCAGGCCTGGCCGTGAGGGGTCCGCCCACCAGGTGCAGAAAAGGTGCCAGGTCTGGGAGCGAAGGAGGGGCTTTGCATTTCCATTCTCCCATAGCTCCCTGATATCCTCTCTCTGCGCTGCACTTTCTACTCTGCAAAAGAGGGCAACTGAGTTCTAAGGCTTGTCCAACTCAGATGCTGTTTGGTTCTGGGAAAAGAACACACTTTGTAGCTCACAGATGCAAAACAGTAGGCCCTGGATGTGGCGTAAAGTCAGAGAGGCTGCCTGAGAGGTGACAGAGGAGGAGGAGGAGGAAGAGGGCACAAACATAGGGGCCTGCTGGGAGTGTAGTAGGCCCCAGGCCGGGAGGCACAGACTACACCTGCCACGTGATCCCAGAGTCCCCAGACTGCTCTCTGGACCATGAGAAAATTCAGACCCTATTCTCCACACACACTGGAGGCCAGGACAGAGCCTGATGTTAGAGAACATGGACTCTACCCTGTGGGACTTGGGACTGTACCTCCCCTGGGTCCACGCTGCTTATCTAGAAAATGAAAAAAAAAACCAAACTAAACTCCAACCCACCACACCCCTCTATCAGGCTTCTGAGGTTGTAAATGATAGGAGAACATGGCCTCATCTTGCCCCCATGGAGCAGCTAGTGGATTCGAACCACTGGCTCTTTGGTTAGCATCCCAACACGTAAGGCACTGTGTCATCGGGGACGCACTCTCACTGCCCCCCTCAGATTCCTGTTCTTACTGTCAGGGCTCTGGATCTCCTCTCACACTCCGCAGCCTTTCTCATAGGTCTGGCCACACCCCATCATCTGCTTAAACCCCCCTCGGAGCTCATTCTGGTGCCCCCAGGATAAAGGCACTCTAGTGGTGGTCAAGACCCTTTGTGACTTGCATTGTTATCTGTCTTCCAGCTGACATGAACTCATGGTGACCCCAGGTCTGCAGAACTGCTCTATTGTTTTCTAGTTGTAACTGTTTTGGGTCCTGCTCAAGTTTTCAGCCTCTTGGCCACCCCTAGCTGGGCCCACAGGCCTCCTGATCCTTGCCCATGCTTCAAGCCCCTCCCACCTCCTCAGGCTGCAGCTTCCAGGTGTCCACCCAGTCCTGCTGGGTCTGTGCAGGTGTCCCTTCTCTCTACTGGGTGGGCAAGGGACCTGCCAGACCCCAGAGTGTGACCCTCAGCTGTAACTGAACTCCCATGTGTATCACAGGGATTCCCCAGTACTCTGCTTGGGAACTGCGGCTGTCACTGGACCCTGAAATTCATAAAACTTCTCCTTTCTGAACACACCTAGTGGTTCCTAGTTCTCAGGACCCTCTGGCCTCTGGGCATGAAGGATGGGAGCATGCTTGGAAGAAGTGACACTATTTGGATTTAAGTACCAGGGATGGCTGTGCCCATCGGACATGCCCACATGGAACTGTCCCCAAACCTGAAGGTAGTTCTGCTCCTGATAGGTCTTGTTGGATTTCAGACACAGGGAGAAGTACTCATGGCCCAGGGGCCTCGAGGGGAGAAGAAGAAAGAGATGGCCATACCTGGGTGCTGCCGCGGAGAGTTGCCAGGTTAAAGAAATGGAGGAAAGCAAAAAGAGAGAGACAGACCAGTGAGCAGCTTGACTCTGCTGAAGGGACACTAGGCTGGGGGAGGAAAGTGAGTGCGCCTGCCCCCAGCCCCAATCACATACACACATCACAACACAGCCACATATACAAACACACAATCACACACCCCGCCACAGTCACATATACAAACACACACAGAGTCACACACACATGCATTCACACACCCTACACAGAATCACATGTACAAACACAAAATCACACACACACACTCCACAGTCACATGGACAAAGTCACACATTCACATATGTAAACACACAATTACACAGTCACGCCCACACCCACCCAACACAGCCATACATACAAACACACAAATATGCACACATAGTGACATATGCAAACACAGAGTCACACACACATACACACACACACACACACACACACACACACGGTCACACTCTGTCCTCCCACATCTCCTTACAGGCCCTGACTTCCCAACATTAGCACAGTCATTCTCTCCCTCCTGTGGGCCCTGTCCTGCCCTGAGCTGGCCCCAAGCCCTGTCCCTTGGGGATGCTGATACAAATCCACATGCTTTTGTCAAAAACGCAAACAAATAGCTCGCCTACAGACTCACTCTTCACTTGGAAAGAGGAAGGCGAGGCCCATCTCCATGTTTGTTTTTCCAGGGCCTGGTGAACACAGAACATTCCTCAGACCCTGCTGCCCTCAGGAAACCCCAAGATTGTCCCAAGCCAGCAGCCAACACCCAGGCTACAGTCCCTGCACAGGGCCCAAGGCTAGGGCAGCCTTATTAATGTTAATAAGAAGAATAATGATCATAATCGTGTGGGATGATGCCTTATGGCTCCGAGCACAGAGCCGGGCTGACAGAGGCTTCCTCGGTGCAGGTCTCTGCTGGGCACCTGCCATCCATGATCTCCTGTGAGTCTCATCCCTACCCTGAGAATCACACCCACTTCACAGAGGAGAAAACAGACTGAGGACTTTGCCCAGCACCTCACAGCTAGTTTAGGGTGTATAGATGATACTGGTGAGTTCCCCCTTTCCTATACATCTCAGAGTGGCCCAGTGGTAAAAGAGAGACTGTAAATTCCCCATCTTGCCTTGGGGATCCTGAGACCCAACAAAGGACTCTGGCTTCTTCATGTTCACACAGGGAGTCGGTGGGAGCCAGGCCCTGGAACTCATACTCAATGCCTGGCAGGATTTGATCAGCATTTGGTGCAGAAGTAAGCGGGCTGGATATGTGGAGACTGGTCTTTGCGCCACACACCACATGCAGAGTCTTCCCAGCCATCCTATCAGCTTCCCATTTTCCCAGTTCCCTCTTCTGAGGGAAACTGAGGCCCAGAAAGGAACAATGGCTGTCCTCTGACCTCTATGGGTAGGTGACAGCGTGAGGATCAGATCTAGGCCTGGTTTTCTCCAATCTGTCCTGCTGGTGGAGAGAACCTTATGCTCTTGATATCAGAGTTGATGTGGGGACATAGCTGGTTTTTCAAGACCCATCAGCCCTGAAGGGTGATGCTAGGAAAGAACAGAGCCTGTAGAGCTGTTACTTATATTGATCTTGTGGGAACTGGGCCTCCAGTGGGTGCTGAGTGTGGCTGCAGCATGCCCCAGGCTTCATGGGGACCTTTCAGGGAGATCCAAGTTTGAGATGATTCTGTAGATGCATTCAGAGACTGACTCAAACTCGTCCCTGGGACCTTGTTCACACACCAAGTAGGAAGCAGAGGCTTGCTGCCATGGGGCTGAGTCCAGGAAATGCAGTGAGGAGGGATCCACGGGGTAAGTCTGGGCTGGGGACCTAAGGCTTGAGAGATATTGCCAAGGCCCAGGAGGGGTGGTGTGGCTGGTGTTGGCTGTAGCATCTGAGAGACATAACTACAGGTACCTCTCTGTGTCTGGGTCGGGGTCCTGGGGGTCCCAAAGTTGGGCTTGTGAGAAAGAAATGATGGGAATAGAGAAATTGCTAGAACAACTCATCCAAGGCTCTAGCACAGTGTGTGACAATGGAGCTGGGTGAGGAGAAGAGCTGGGTTCTGGGTGGGGACAGGCCTCATCCTCCTGACTTGGGCCCCCTCTCCAGCAAAGAGCACTGGTCTTGACGTCAGACCAGGTCAGCCCACCGGCTCTGTAACAGGGGACGGATGGCTCTATGTAATTAAGTCTCCGTTTCTTTGTCTGCAAAACAGGGTGACTTCCTCTCCTCTAGACAGGATGCGCTCCCTCTCTTGCACCTCTAGTTCCTCATCTTTATAGTGGACAAGGCTGAAGGGGTTTAATGGTCACTTAGCTCTCCTGACCTTCCACTCAAACACCTGCAGGGAGAAGGGAAATGTGGGCCTCGAGCCCAGACTCAGGCTGCAGACTCTGTTCACCTGCTGGAACCGGGGCCACAAATCCTGCAAGGGGGCTGGTAAGGCTGATGTGTAAGTTCAAGTCTGAGTGAGTTCTGCCACTTTCCAGCTGTGTGACTGAAGAAAGCACCATAAGCCCCTGAGCCCTGCTTCCCTCATCTGTCAAATGGGCTCACAAGCCCCTGACTGGCAGGGCTGTATACATTCACAGAAGGTGATGGGGAAGTGCTCTGTAATCTGCTCAGGTCCACGTGCACAAAAAGGGACGCTTGTGCCTACACTCTGGTGGCACTGCCGTTAACAAGGGAAGGAGGTGGACAGACAGGCTTGCGGAGGGCTCAGGTCAGCACTCCAGGGCCTGGAGTCCTGGTTGCTACCTTAGCACAGGGCCCGTGGGCAAGGACGGTCCAGATGGGGTGGTGGTGGGAACAGCAGGATGTGGCTGCTCCAGGAGAGCTCCCACACTCCCTCCGTGAGGGTATACAAACATGCCAGAGTCAGGGCTTGTGGTGGGTTGTTACTCATGGGCTAAAGTACCCAGGTAAGTTGATGCCTCAGGAGACATGTGGCAATGTCCAGAGACATTTCTGGTGGTCACAAAAGGGACAGGGTGCTACTGGGATCTAGTAGACAGAGGCCAGGGATGCTACCTCTACAGTGTCCAGGACAGATTCCCTTGCTCCTCCCAGCCCCTCCCTTTGCCCCATGAATGATCTGACCCCAAACATCAATAGGGTTAATGGTCTAGTATTTAGAACGTGATGGGATCTGCCTGGACAGCGGATCCCACCCCACATTAGATGAGTGACAGGTGGGTGCTCACCCCCCATCCTCTCCCCCTCAGTCTCGCCCTCTGGGCCTACCGTGTCGAGGTGCGTGCGTTGGTGCTTGGCGCGGTCACTGGAGTTGCTGAAGGCTTTCTGGCAGCCTGGGTGCTGGCACAGATACGGCTTCTCGCCCGTGTGGCTCCTCAGGTGGATCTTGAGGTTCTCCAGCCTTGAGAAGGCCTTGCTGCACCCCTCAAACTGCAGGAGAGGCCAGTGAGGGGTGGTCACCAGCCCCCGGAAGGCCCACCACCCAGCCTGGAAATGCACCCCGTGGGGAGGCCAGAGCAGTAAGCCTGCCCGGCCCTCAGCACCCTCCACCCGACCCCGTACTGTGCGAGGTCTCCAGGTCCTCTAGCTCAGCTCCTCATGAACTGCTCAGGACCCAGACTCTAACTTGGAAGCCTTGATAGTTTCCAGGGAAAAAAAAATCACCCTTGACTGGGAAATGGACCAGTAGGGCTGGAGTAAAAAGGGATCTTTCCTTTTCTGGATCTGAAAGGAATCCCTTCCCAGTGCCACCTGGACACTGCATGCTTTTGACAGCAGCTCCGCCCGAATGGACATGAGCACAGGTGCAGAGGGAGCTGGGCTCCAAACCTAGGACCTGCTCTGTCCTCCGAGGCCTGGCTCTGCCCTCAACTTCTTTGTGCCTGATCTCTGTGGCTGCACACTGTGTGGCTACATCTCAGGGCTGATACTGAGGGTCTCAGGGGCCTGGAATGTCAAGGGCCAAGTCCATGCAGAATGCAGCGTTAGGGCTAATCCATGCCAGACAACAAGCACTCTTTGTTTCATTTGGTGGGTCTGCTATCCAGTGCTCCTAGTCTATGGGGAGACCGGTAGAGAGAACAAGAAAAAAAGTACAGTGGAAAGTGAAGTGGAAGGAAGAGTAGACATAGGGCCTTGGGCCTTGATCTGCTCAGACCCTCCTCTTGGGGCCCCAGGCCTCCCATCTCTGTAGCCGTTGCCCCACTCCACACACCATCCCTGGAAAGTCCTTAAACTTCTAAGCCCTCCTTCCTCCCTGTTCTCCACACAGAGATCCACAGAAGTCTCCTGATACCGACATCAGGTCCTGTCACTCTTTGCTTACAGCCCTGCTGGCCAGTGTAGCGTCAAGCTCCCGCAGCCTCCATACCTCCCTGCCTCTCTCCTCCCACCCCTGCTCCTTCAGCTCTCTTGGGGACCAGCCAGGCGGGCTCCAGCCTGGGTCATGCAAGCTGCTGTCATGGAATGCCTTCCCTTTCACAGCGACTCACTGAGTCCTTCCTCAGCCTTCAAATCCAGTTCAAACGCTGCCTGGTGGGTGGAGGCAGCTGACTCCGACCCCTTCAGTGCAGTGGGCTGCTGCTTTTCCCCACTGTGTAGCCATGCCACAATCTCAAGTCTGGGTGGTAGGCATGCCAAGTGACAACTGCAATGCACCAGAGTTAACCTCACAACACCCTGTGACATGCGCAGTATCAAAGTCCCCAGTTCGCAGATGAATTGATAGTGTGTTGTATGATGAAACGACCTGCCTATGACTGTCTAGTGGTAAGATAGTGGTAAGAAGCTGTGCTGCAGTCTCAAAGGCATGGGGTTCGAGGCCGCCAGCTGCTCTGTGGGAGAAAGAAGGGAAATCTCTTCCTCTAAAAAAACTGCTGGAGGGTCAGGTATGAGTTGGTTCCGCTTTGGCAGTACACAACAACAACATGATTTAGCATGCTGCCAAAACTGGACCCCAGCTTAGTTTGGTGCCAGGGCCCAGGTGGCTCTGCTATGCCCTAATGCCCTCGGGGATCATGTGATAGGGGAGGTGACCCTTTAGGGAAAAGAGAATTGGAGAGGCAGAGGCCTTCTGAGCCACCAGTGTCATCCAGTCATCCTGTTTAGAGGCCGATCTGCCCCTTACCAGACAACTCCGCCCTCCAAGGGAGGGGCCAGTATGGGCTCGGCAGCAAGCAGCCTATGATGAAAGGAGGACAGTGCTGGCCTGCTCGTCCACACCCTTTCTCTGGGCTTCGTCTGCAGGGGATGAAGGGGCAAGTCCTCACATGTGTCCACAGCTGGACTATGTGGCCTCTTTCTTTTGAGTTGGGCACTGGTTTGCTTTACACATAGCCCACAATGTTAAAGGGACTACACTTCAAATGGCTAACACATTCAGCTGTTCACTGGAAGACTGGTAGTTCACATCTACCCAGAGTTTCCTCAAAAATAACCCCTACAAACTACTTCTGAAAAACCAGCCACTGCATATACTGTAGAATGCACCTCTGGCCTGGTGCACCTGGGTCATGTGTCATGACTGACTTTGTGGGTCACCGAACCCTCACTAGTTATCTAGGCGTGAGTTTATGGGTGGTGGCTGGTGAGCACTGCGGGAGAGTTCAGAATCTGTAGTTCACTCAGCTTATCTCCCAGCCCTTGTAGGTCGGTGCCCAGGGAAGTTCCGTGCATTTGGTCATTTTGGGTACAGGGCAGCTTAGTTGGGCAACCTGGTTCCAACCCTAAGCTGGGTGATGTCAAGATTTAGAGAGGACCCAGACATGGGTTTCACCCTCCAGGATCTCAGAGCCTGAAGGGAGAGGCACACATAAACCACCCTAGCCAAACTGTGCGGTCAGAGCTGTGATGGGGGGCAGACAGCACAGACAAGGGGACCCAGATGGTGCCGAGTTTGGTGTGAAGCTGTGGGAGGTGTGTAGACAGTTACGTCAATATCGGTTCATCCACATCTTTCAGTCACTGACTGACCTGCTCCTTGAGCAGTGAGTGCGGTCAGGTGCTGTCGGGTCAGGACCGACTCATAGCTGACTGTCTATGCAAGTAAGGCTTGAATCCACCAGCTGCTCTGCAGAGAAAGATGGGCAGTCTCCTCCTGCATGATTTAAAGCCTCTGAAAATCTGCTGGAGGGGCAGTTATGGTTGGTTCTGACTCCATGGCACATAAAAACAAACCTTAGCAGGATGAGACAGGCTTGATTTTCTCCCACAGAATGGCTGAGGGATTTGAACTGACAACCCTTTAGTTAGTAGCCCAACACATAACCTACTACACTACAAGGGCTCTTCAGAGACTGAATTATTATTGTTGGGTGTCACCCAGTCAACTACAACTCAGAGTGACGATCTGAACTTTGCTCTGTCGTGCACCGTCCTCACCATTTCTGACACACTTGAACCCATCATGACCGTCACTGTGTCAATCCTTGTTGTTGGGGGTCGTCTTCTCTTTCTCTGACCCTCTGATGTTGTTAGGTGCTGATGAGTCAACTAGAATTCATTGCGACCCTATGAACTATAGATCTGAAATGTGCTCTATCCTGTGTTGTTCTCATCCTCTCTAGTACACTTGAGCTCTGTGACAGTAACAGTGGGTCTCATGGAAGACCTTGCTCTCTTTCACTGACCCTCTACCCTTCCCAGCATGTTGTTGTTGTTAGGTGCCATCAAGGTTTCCAAGCATAGAGACACTCAAAGGCCAGACCAAGAAGTCTGGACCCCAGGTGGGGCCATGGCAGACCCTTAAGAAAAGAAGAAAACAGGATCAGATAAGCAAACAAGGAAGACGCAGCTGAGAGGAGATGAGATGATGGGGCACTAATCAAGAGAAAGCACAGATAACTGTTGGAGACGAGGCTCGAGGGGCCACAGCAGAGACAGTGGGAAGACGTGGAGGTCGGAGCAGACCTTATGGGCAGATGTGAGACCAGGGACCTAGACACAGTGGCTGGTCCCGAGCGACCTGCCGTCCCGTGAAGACTCACACGACTGCAGGCCGCTTTCTGCTGGGGCTGGTCCAAGGCAAGGAGCCCAGAGCTGGGTTTTAGTGGCTGTTCTGTTCCCCACTTCCAGATGTGGTGCCTTTGCCATGCATCAAAACCAGAAGGAAATCCTGTTTGGGGAGTAAACAGGCCACAGCCCGGCCCCCTTGCTCTCCTGCAATGGCCCTGTGCCAAGTTCATCCCATCGTGAACGCGGAGCCTCGGCTGGGGAGAGGGGCTTCCTCTTGGCATCCAGCTCATCCCTTTGTTCCTCTCTGGCCTGTGCAGAGAGGTGGACATCTGAGGCAGAGAGGCAATAACTCCTTGCGTGCTGCGTGATTTTTCTGAGTTTGGGCGAGTCCAGCAGACTCTGGAGATCGGTATATCATTTTCTCCCCAGGAGTCTGCACGGATGTCCAGACCCGCCTGTGTTCAGCCTTCGTCCCTCCCAGGATACCCTCTCCTCCAACCCCCTGACAATTTAATTCATACATTTTTCAAAAGTCCAGGATCTTCAGCTAGGAGTTCAAGGGTTTTCCTTCCCACCACATCCACCTCACATGTGTCATGCAGGTTCCACATGGGGGTGACTGTCCCTTTCTGAATGTGTTGGGGACGCTCATGCCTTTAGGACGTTGCTTCAGCTGTTGCCTCTGCCTGGAGCAGAGTGTCTTTCCCCCATGTGTCCATTTAGGAACATCATCTGTTCAAGCACCACCTCCTCAGGGAAGCCTTCCCTTCCTCTCCCACCCCTTTCCTCCTCCCTGATCTCTTGCCTCTCTCATGTCCCAGCCCTGGGTTCGGAGGGTGAGTTAGCAGGTTCCCATTGCACAACAACTGCCTCCTAGGCAGAGGGTCTCAGCATTCCTCGAAGTCAGGGCTGGGATTCATTTATGGGGTAGAAGCTGGGGTAGAGATGTGATCCAAAGGCTTAAGGATTGGAGTTTCTGGGCATGGAGACGCAGGTGCTCACAAGCAGCCTCTTCTCACTCGCGTGTTCATCAAAGTGCCCAACATGTGCTCTCGCCCCCATGCCCACGTCCTCTCAGGGACGCTGCCCAGCCTTGTCCCCTGCTCCCACCTTGGCACTTCCCAGTGCTGGGCCAGGATGCCCTGATGGGAGTGGGCCCAGTGAAGGGGTGCGGGCTGGGATGAGGATGCACTCTGACAGAGCAGCCCCCCATTCAAGGCCAGCCTCCTGAGACAGGCCAGGGGCTTCGAGGGTATGTAGGCTCTGCCTGCGGCCATTAGCCAAGCCTCCTGTGGTCCCTCTGACGACACAGGCAGAGAGAATGAGGGCACAAGGCAAGGATGGCGACATTCACAGCTCAGCACCTACCGGGAGTGGGCTCTGCTGGGCCCAGCACTTGCACAAATGGGACCGTTTATCCTCCCCACAGCCCTTCTAGGTGCTGTAAAACTGAGCAAGCTCGGCTAATCGCAGGGAGT